TTCCTTAGGAAAAAAAAAGAAGTTGAAGTTAGAGCAGCATGCAGGAGAAGTGCTGAAATGAAGAATCCATGAATAGCCTGAACAGAGTTTTCTATTCCTGGAGCTCACAGCTGACTATAGAAAAACTTTTAAAGATTAGAGGAAAGGTTTCTTACTGAAGGAGGATTTTTTTATATTATTAGTTTGTACATTTCTGGATTAGGCTTTTCAGTTTTTTAAAGATGCCTCCATCATGTTACAACATACATACTCTTTCTACAAAGCCTTGGGTCCAGGAGAGGAATGTGTAAGTATTTGCCTTAATCATAATCTTTCTTAGAAGTCCTGCAAGATAAAAAAGAAATGCATATATGTTGCATGATAATTTGATCCAGGTACTTTACAGGTCTTAACTTATTATATACTGATGAGCAGCATTTTGTGAAGTAGGTAAGCAGATATTGATCTTGTTTTTCAGGCCTGAAAGACAAAACCAGAATAAGTGGGAAAAAAAAATCTTGCCCCAAAATGCTTAAACAGAAAATTATTGAAAAAAAGTGTCATTATGCATTATGAATCTCAGACAGAGAAAAAACTACTTGGAGTGCTCTTTTGACTGAAGTTGACAGTATTCCAGCAGCAGCAAAATGTGCTTGGCAAAGCCAGATCAGCACTAAAACATTGTACTGAATTTTACTGGTGGAATTACATTGCCACATTTGAACTGATCTCTGTTGCTTGAAAGCATCAGGATTTTGTTGTGTATCCCAGAACACAGATATGTACATGATATAGTTGCTCAGTGGGGAAAATCTGGTTAAACTGAATGTAACTGTTTAGAGTACACTTGCAGATATGGAAGTTAAAATTACTTGTGTTGGTGTCTGCTATTTATTTAAGGAGTGAACATAATGGAGTCAAACCTTCAATTTAATCTGTAGTCAGCAGGGTTCTAATCTGTTCAGCAAGACTTCAGAGGATTTTTAGTTGGTTGCCTCAACATTCTGCCTTTCCACATTTGTGGAAACCTTGCTGTACTAGTAAGAGGGTCAGTGCTGATGACTCGCTCTGGCCATGGAAAGTAAGGGTATGATATTACTGTCCCTGTAAACCACAGGTCCTGTGGTGAGGCCTCTCCAGCCACTGACTGCTCTCCGTTCTTGAAAGTCACCACACCGTGGGAAATTGGTGGGAGAGTGTAGCCCAGGGTGTTGAGATCTCATGATTTCTCTGATATTAAGATTAAGATCCTTTCAGGGAACACTTAGTACCACAGAAGACAGAGTACCTTGATCTTTCCTTCACATTAAAGAGCAACTGTGTAGCATATGTAGTATGTGCAGTTTTCCTGACATGCTGCTGATTTTTTTAGACAAAATCCACAAAAAAATGCGTATTCTCCATAGTGTGGGAGAGCGTACTGCTGAGAAGGTCAATCATGATTAATTATATAGACATTGAAACTTGTTTCCATCACATTTTCGGCTTGTGTCTTTTCATATACTCTTAGTTGCCACTTCTCAAGTAAGCAGGTAAATTAGTAGCTGAGCTGTAAATAATAGTAAAACCCCTCTAAAAACAATTTTGCTGTTAAAGTGAAGGCATATTTTAAAGTTTTAGTGATTTTCCAATGTTCTTTCTTTAGTGCTAAGAGAGAACAAGGAATTCCCATCTTCATTCATGTACATGCTTTTGGTAAAAAGCTTAATCCTTGAGTGGTAAATATTAAATGCTTTCTTTGAGTTTCCCAGCACCTTTAAGTCCTTCCATCAACTTCTTGAATTACACCCGCTGCACCTTCTCCAAGCACAGAAGATAAACACAAAAGATTTCATGAAATGAAATGAAATGATTTGACAGGGAGGTTTTCTGGGAAGTATTTGAAGACCCATAGCAATGCACAGCACAATTACGAAATCTATCCAAGTCACCCTCTGAAAGCCCAGCACCCTCTTAAAGTATCACAGACGGCTTGGTTGCCCAGCTATCCTCACCTACAACCAAGCAATGGGTCAGAAGAGAAGAAGAACACAGATGCATTAGCAATCCTCAGAAACCTCTGTTCTCCTTGCTTGGTACCGCAAATGACTTAGATACTGTGTATTGAGACTGATTGCAAAATCCATACCGTGAATCGAAGCTCCTTAAGAGCTTCATGCACATCCTTGCACGGAAGGGTAATTGTCAGTGCTCTGAGCTTCTGTCCTGGAAGTCTAAATTAAGAACAAGCCTCTGGGCTGCTGCTAGGCCTGCAGTAACTTCTCAGGCTTTGTCCTCCTTCTGTAACCAGCTGACCTGAGCTGCCCCCAGAATACAAATCCACTGTACCGTGCTGTCAAAACAAATTACTAAATATCAGGCAGCACCACAGAGGAGACAGAAGCCAGGATCTTAACAAAAGTAAAAGGTTGCTCTCTCATGCTTGCTGAGGAATTAAAGTAAACTAAATGCTTTGGTGGGAGGGAAACATTCGCCTTTCACCAAATGCTGCCCTGAGACTTGATCCAGAAAGTAATCAGGTCTCCCATGAGGAGACAGAGTGAGATGTGAAGAGACAGAGTGAGATGTAATGAGACTCTGCCCATGTATCTAAGAAGTGCACTCAACACACAGTGCGTGCAGGCCTTAGGAAAAGGACTTGGAGGGAAGAATTTTCTGTTTACATTGTTCATGGCGGAGGCTGGGGACACGTACAAACCGGGGAGGAAATTTATGCAAAGAGAGAGAACTTGCTACCTTGTTTCTCCTGTGATATGGGCTGAAGCATATTGAGAACCCTAGGTGCTTCATGATTGCAGGGCTGCAGGAGGAGTCTCCATCTGCATCAGTAATGGCACTGGGAACCACCTTGGGCTCTGGGCACACTTTTTTTGGCTTTCCCTGTGTCACCTGCTGTCACTGCCCAGACCGTGGTGGCAGCAGATGTGGACAGGGCAGCTCTGGTGTCACCAGGTCCCAGGTACCACCATGGTTATGTACCTCCTCCTCCTTGTTGCTCACTGCTCTGTGATGGAGCTGTGTGTGCTGCTGGGGTGATTTGATCCAGTGGTTAAACTGACTTTTTATAAGCACTGTGCCTAGATGCCTTTGGGAGAAGTGGGTGAGAAGATGGGACAGGACACTGAGAATGCTGTTTGAATAATAGAAGAATAGCCTCTGGTTAAATTTGTGCTGATAATCCCTAGGGAGCTAATACTGCTTTCAGTTACATGATTTCTTTTTTGCTTCACCTGGGAGTATTTCCCTCACCTCCCACATACTACTTGCACCATCAATTCCTTAGAACCTTCTCTGCTGCTTTCTTATAGGGATGCATGCTGGATCTGAATCCATTACTGCTTAGTGATCTAGATATTTAAAGCTTACTGGTTAGGTTATACCCCTACATTCTTCTACTTAAAATATTTACAAATGAAAAGTAAGTTAATTTAAAATGCCACTAAGTTAAGCTGATTTGCTTGAACTAATATCTCTGTATAGTTCATCAGAATTAACCAAAACATGTGGATATGGATGTTTCAGTAGAGAAACAGACAGAATAATAAGGAAATCTCATTTCCATTTTTAAAAGTCCTAATTATCCTGACAATTAAGAGGGAATCAGTTTTCCAGTAAAAAAACAAATGAGGAAATTTCTTTAATCAGAGCACAATATGCAAGGCCTTCTCAGAATAGTCCAAACTAGTGCAGACTTGAATGTAAAATGCCTGTACATAATGAAATAATGGTTTTGAAGAGTCCAGGGATGCTGATGCTCTGAAAGGCCGTGATTTCCCCATAACCTACCTGGTAGCTTTTGAACTCCTTACCTGTTCCAAAAATTGGCAGAGAGACAGAGATCTCAAAGACATATTTCACCTTGACGTATTTCTTGAAAACTGGTGGGGCAATAAGGGAAGAAGTCAGCAGTACTGGGAAGGAGGAGGAGAGATTTGTCACATGGTCATGAAAATATAACTCTGTAGGGAACAAAATTTGCAGGAGTCCTGTTTTTTGTAAAATATGTTTGTTCTCATTTACAATAGACTAGGCAAGAAAACCCTGCCAGAATTACATGTTGTGTTGTTTTGTTATTTTTTTAATGGTGATTTGCAATTGACTGTATGCTTCATCATTATTTTGAGGAGACTTTGTTGTTTTATTTGATTTAGAAGTAAGCTTACTTACTTACCTGTGCAGTTTGGAGGTACTATTCAAGCACTGTTCTTTGCTCCATTGCATCAGTTTTATGCCATGATTTTACTGAAGACTCCATAATATGTGTCATATAGAGAAGCTGAATACATTTGAAACTGGCATGCCAAATAAAGTATTGGGAGAACAGAAGGCTTTTTTTCTTTGGAGTGGGGAGGCCTGTCATTTTTGTAATGAAACAATTTGGAAACATTCATAAGGTGACCTCCATGCTGTAAATGGACTTTGGAAAGAGTAGAGGCTGATGATAAATCATGGTAAACCACGGAAATCACTTAATCTATGTGGGGGGCTGGTGAAGGGGAAGAACTGATGGCATCATGTCTTCTAGGGCAGATTATAACATCCCAACCAGATTATAAACCTCCTTCCCCTTTTATGCAGCTTAGAACAGTAGTCTCTTTCTTGTAAATGAGGTCTCCTTCAATGAAGAGTGTTGGGTAAGAGTCTGAATTAAGAACATGTGAGGAGAAACAAAAGAACGAAGCCTGTTTAATTAGAATGAAAGAAACTCCCCCCTCAAATCCTCCAATCCCAGTTTAACAGAGTGTAGGGGTTGTTAAAACTGAAAGGTCTGACTTGCTGACTTAGGTAAACGCAATGCTCGGCAGATGAAGTCATGCATAATTAATTGTTCTTTGTTGCATTCTTTCCAATATAATTACTTGTAGCATTCAAGCTTATAATAATTGATGTTTTCTGTGTACTGGAGCTTCAGGACAGCCAATTAAGGCAGTGGAGGTGGTAACTGTGCGGCATCTCTGGCATCTGTTTGTTACTAACATGTGTGCTATAACCTTTTTTTTCTTTTCTTTACTTGTTTCTAGTGTCTAAAACAGTACATGCAGCTGGCAATTCAAGAAGGTTGTGGTTCTCCTATCACATGTCCAGACATGGTGTGCTTAAACCATGGGACTCTACAAGAAGCAGAGGTATCCACAATTTTTCTTTCTCTCTCTTCTTTTTTTTTTTTTAACTTAAATCCCCCAAATTATCTGCATAATGAATATGATCATACACTTTTTCATCCCTTTAATTACCATTAATGAGCTTTTGGCAAGAAGCCTGACTGACAAGTGGAGTTAGAAATAAACAGATGTTTTCCAAGTGTTTTGCTCTTCGTTCCCTCCCTCTGTGCCTTGGGGAAAGGTTTACTTGGCACCTGGACAACCTCTGTATTACACATGCAGGTGACTTAACCAGAATACCCTATATCCCAGAATCGCTGAGCCTCCATTAGCACTGTCAGTTAAATCATATTTGATTTGACTGCAAACACTGGAATTCTTGCCTCTTTCTTAACTCAAGAACAAGAACTCAAAGTGATGGTACACAAGGCCAGAATTTCTTTGTGTATGTTGATATTGGGCTTCAACAACCAATTTGTAGTCCAATATAAACACACAAGGATCTGTAGTTATATGGAAAGAAAAGTGTCTGCATAGCACTAGGTGGAAGTACATCTTAAGAGATACGAAAGGTGCCTTTGTTCTGAAGGCAGATACGGGAGAGGCTGAGAGCTCAGGAGCTAAATGAGATTTAGGCAGAGCTATTTACACACCTGGCATGTTCACAATCTCCCAGAGTAACTGGAAGGTTCAGTTTGCAAGTTAAGGCAGAGGAACTGGAGGGAAAATGTGCTCCTCAGACCTTCTTGCAATGCTTGTCACAATGGGCTTGTAGATGGCTGTCTGATGGCCTCCCAGCAGTTTTCCAGGTGGCTAAGGGATTTTGGCTGGTTTTGTGTGTTCTCTCAGCATTTGGTTGTAGGAATAAAATCAAGGAGAATTAGATCTCCACCCCTGAACTGAAGAAAACCAGTTTGTCTTCTGGGTTCCCTTGAGCCCTGTGTAAACAAATGACATAACTGTGGCAGAAGTATATAATTAGTGACAATGTGATTCCTGATACCAAAAATGTCTTTTACTCCAGAAAAATTTAGAATTTCCTCTCCAGCATCCATTTCAAACGCTGTGCTTAGCATGGGAGTTGCAACTATGTTTGTTATGGCATGCAGGCATATGGTGGAGCTTTTTTTTGGCTGAATCCAGCTACTGTGGAAAGTAGCCAGCTGTTACCCTTTCCTCCACTTTCTACACAGACACAGAGAGGGTGTAGCAATGTCCCTCCCATCCATCACACCAGATTGGAGGCATCTAGCCTCTATTGAAATGCATTTTTAAAAGAAAGTTAACAAAGGCTAGAAGGAATTCTGCTCTGTTAATCCAGGGTTATGATGCTGTAGGAATTAGGAGAGATATATTTTCCCTTAGTAAAACAGGAGAGCTCCAAGGCATGTATAAATGGACCACTAGCTTAATCCTAGGGTGTTTTGGGGGCTGAAAGCAAAATGACTAAACAATCCAAATGTGCATTAGTGTCCCCTGGATGAATGAATATTCTGACACTCCCTTTTGGTGATGTGCTTGAAACAGAAGCCTTCTGCCTAAATAGCAAAAAAGTCCCCAACCTGGTTAAAATTATTGCTTATATATTTTAACAAATACCTATTTATTTGAAGAAGAAAACCAACCAGAAAAAAGTGTGAACAACAGAAAGAAAAGATTGACTCCATTAACAATCTGCAAGTATGTAATCTATAGATTATGTATGAGAACTCCCTATTCCTCTTTCTTCTCTATAAAGGCCGTTCCTTGTGAATATGTGGCCTTTTAAAGCTATTATTTAAAAACCTATAACCTTATCACATGGTAGAGAATGTGCTTAAATATGGCTATTGTTTGGCATGGAGTACCAGTTAGAATTACAGTTTCCTCATTACACAGTCTTGGACTTGTGGTGTGAAAGTATGAGGCTTCTCACGTCTTGAGGGTCTGGATATTTGTTCTTTGGCTTCTGGCAGGACAAGGTTCCTCAGCAGGACAATGCCGTGAGGAACGACAAGTTACCTGTACTGAGGAAAAAAAAGAAAATTTCCTTTTTTCGACTCTGTTTTAGCATCAGTGTTTTGAAAAGTTGTATTTTTCATGTTATGTTCATTTCAGACTATGCTATGACTGCTGTTTATGAGGTACTGTTACAGTTTGGAGAAAAAACAGCAGTTCACACTGTCTTTGTCATGGACAGGGTGTTAAATTAGTTCCTATACTTCGGGCTAAATGCTCTTAATTATGTTAGCTAGCGCAGTTATTTTGTTTGCTTTTTAAAGTGCCTTTTGCCCGAGCTTGCACAAGAGAGATAAAGGTCAATTTAGGTGTAATTTGAAGTGAAGGAAAGCCTTTTCATTGACTTTTGTGGTTTTGGATCGAGCTTCCTTCAAGAAGGAAACTGACCAATAATAACAAAGCTTATAAGCATTTATAACACAGTATAGCTATGAAAGTTTCTCTTCTTCCCTCTCTAAAGATCCTTTTTCAAGGTGTGTAACATTTCTTCAGTGCTTTCCAGTGACCTGTTTGTCTTCATCAAGACAAACCAGAATTAAGTCTGGTTTAGCCTCTCAGTAAAACTTTTAAGAGTTTAAATCTAGTTTGGTACTAAATTATTGGAGCTTTTTCACAGGTCTTGCCTTGCTTCTGGCTCATGTTCTCCTTCTGTTGCTTTTGGGGAATAGAGCAGGGCAAAATTCTGGTTAACATTTTAAACAAAGAATATAATTTCTTTTTGTATATCACATGAAGAAATGAGCAAGTGTAAATAGTAGGAATGTGTCTCTCTAATACAGTTGAATATTTCTTCAATGTTTGGGGAGTAAACTGCTTATTCATAGAGTATTAAAGATGTTGGGAATTAAGGCTTTACTTTCAGTCTCTGCATCCCTCTGGACCCTAGGAAAAAAAAAAATCCAGGTTTTTATTCTTGAAGTCCTGAAAGTGAAAAGTCATTTGAAGTAGAAAATGGTACTTTTCAGTATTTTGAAAATGTGTTCTCTGAAACTCTCTGGTTTGTTTTTTTTTCCTTTAACACAATCTAATTGAAACTGGTATATTCCCCAGCTGTCCTTTTGTTTTGACAAATAGTGCATTCAAACAGGAGGAATTGTTCTGCTAGAGTGCTTGAAATCAGGTGCAATCCTAGGTCATATCTTGACCTGTTACATCTAGATAGCAGCTGCTTGTAGTATAGCTGTCTTTAAGCAGAAATAAATGAGGGGTAGTCATGGTAAGACAGTGGTTTTGGCTACAGACTCTGTTTCAAATAGCTGGTTACACACAAAAAAAGAAAGTTTAAAAACAGTCTTGTTAAATAAAATGTTTGTCCTTTCGAGCTTTAATGGTACAATAAACAAAGATGATTTGGATTCCTTCCTGGAAGCAGAAGGTAGAAGGAACATTTTATGTTAATGCAGTTCTCTTAATCGTGCAGACTTCTGTCTGGAATATTTCTGTCTCTCTTGGGAACTTGCTCCATTGATTTAATTGGACCAGTTAATACCCCTAATCTAAATAAGGGGTAATTTATCACAGTTTGAAATGGCTTTGCTCGATGTGAGTCCAATCACCAGTGTAAGCTATGAACCAGGATAAGTCTCCACTGCATTCAGGGGTTTCTAATGCAGTGCTCACTTGGATAATGTCTAGGGGATTATGCTTTGCTCTTTCTGATTTGGATCAAAACTGAGAAGTAGTCAGTAAAGGAGGTACTGATTTGGGCCCTCCTTTTGCCTCTTAAGTTTGTAGAGAATTACCCCTTTGCATGCACTGCAGATTCTGCTTATTGTCCCTCTGTCTGTGTAAATCCAGGATCTACACCAGTGCTAACCTGACAGAGGGTTGTCAGCACTTTGTAAAGTGATGCTGGGGTCACTTTGTACAGTGACCCAAATCTTAGAATTCTTAATTGCATTATATTCCATACATAGCCGAACAAAAATCCCACTGGGAGTCAGTTTAAAATACCGACTTTTTATTTTTAATTTGAAAATTGGTTTACATTTTTCTGGGGGAGATTGAAATGGTAAAATGAGAAGGAATGTAAGAAAATGTTGCAGGCTGTACTATCTTTTTCAGAGTCAAAATAAAAATGTTTGATCTTATTTACTCATTTTTAAATAAAATGAAGGAGAGCAAATGAGAACCTTAATTTTGTTTTTATTTGCCACTAAATAAGAGAAGAGCTCCTTAATGGAGAAAATGAATAATTTAGTATTTCTTTATCACTCTAGTGAGCATGGTAGCTGATGAAGAAAGCTGTGGGTGTAATTTCTAACAATAAAGATATTGAACTCCCATCCCCCTTTCAAAAGCAAACCACAGCCCCTGTTGAAATTGTTTTACACTGCTTGCAAAACGAGACAGTGCCTCTGTGAGTAGGATTTTGGTAGAGGTGGACAATGCCACCGGTTTCAAACTGCTGTTGCTGCTGCCAGTGCAGAATCTGTCCTTGATCCCTGTCTGCTCTAGTGAGAGGGAGAAGCACTTGTCCTGGGCAACTTCTCTCCCTTGACATTATCAAGGTTTGATTCATGTGGGTGTGAAAGGAAGTAAGGTCTATTCAATTTTCTTGATTGCCTCCTTACATCTCCCTTGAAAGCCTGAGAATAGGTGGAGTAGTGATTTTCCCTTTCCACTGTGGTAGCCAGTGTTTAAAAACAGGGGAGTTCTTCCTTGGGTCTTGGTTGCTGCACTGCCTGTAACAGTTTGCCCCTGTGTCAACTGAACAAAATTATTTTGAACCCTTTCATGTTTCTTTCTTTGCTCTTTTGTCTTGTGTAGTAACAGCACCCCTGGTTATCATACCATGCTGGGTGATCTTTTTGGATGCTTGGCAAGGGGCCAGCTGGAGCCCTTTGTGGTAGTAAGCCTTCAAAACTTTGCTTTTTTTCCATGGATATTTTTACTTTCAGTGAATGCTGCTGTTCTTAGCAAGAGCTCTTGTGTGTTCTTGTGCTCTATAACAAAGTATTTTAGCTGCAGATGTTGCTTATAGGGTGTAGAAAATCAGAAAACTTACTTCAATTCCTAACAGTCTGATTTAGTCTCAAGATATTTTCAGGAGAGGAGAGTCCTTGTCTCTAATCTTTCACTAAAACCCCCAATGTAAAAAAAAAATCCCCCAAACTTGTCCTGTAGCATTTCTTCCTCCATTTCTGATGTGCTTGTGGTCTTTCTCTTTTGGCCCTTTGCCATCTGCTGGGTTGCTGTTTTGCTGCCTCCCCAGATTTCCATCCCCTGACCAGCCCAGAGACATTTGTGGTTGTGCAGGAGAGAAATGGACACCCAGGTAGGGCTCGAGAAATTGTCTGGAGATGAGCATTTAGACTGATGCCAAGTAGGAGGAGATAAACACCAAATCCCCTTATCATGCTTATTATGGCTGTCCTTCTTGATTAAGTGTAAGTGAGATTAAAAGTTCACTGAGGAAAGGATTTGCTGGTTTGGTTTGGTTTGTTTTTTTATGGGGACCTGATGCTCATGTTTCTTTCTTTCCTTCTCCCTTTCTTTTTTTTCCAATTGAATCTGTGTGTACAGCTTTGGTGTGGCACTGAGTTCATGCAGCAGCAAATTGTGCATTCGTTTCCTCGTGCCTAAAGATACTAAATCTATGAGAGATTTCTGCTCAGCATCTCTCAGGTTGATGTCTGTGTGGGAGTTATCAGGACCTAGTCTTTCAAATCTGGGGAAAATTAGTGACAGGCTGCATGTGTTCAATACCAGAGCTGCATGCAGAGAGGGGGAAGCTGAGCTATGAAGAGGGTTTGTAGGAAGAGGAGTGGGGCCAGGTGAAACCAGTGGGAAAGGCTGGCATGGTAAGCTCAAATTTTCCATAGGAGAATGGGAAGCCTTCAGCACTGGCTCTGCTTCCTATTGAAATCTACAATAAAACTCCTACGTCTGCTCCCACTGTAATCAAAAAGGCTGATTTTTAATACATGGGAAATTCTGGGCTTGATAGATCTGCTCTTGAAAAAATTGTTAAAAGCCAAAGCAAGCACAGAAAGACCCCAGACAACTAAACGATTCACTTGAGTGACTCTTACAGCATTGAGACTTGCTGTTTTAGTTTAGTCCTAATGAAGGAAAATTTGAAGTAGTTGCCAATGCTCACCCAGCTAGAGAAACGCATATGACTCTTATTGTTTTCCAAACTATTTAGGTTTGAAGCTGCCCTGGGGAGGAGTGGGCAATACTGAAATAATATGTCTTTGCTGAAACTGCCAAACTTCACTCCTTTTACCCTTTCATTTAGTTATTATTTATTTTCCAAGAGTGTTTTAGCTGACTTCTGATGAACAGGTGAAGAGTTTCCCAGGAAACTCTCTGTGTTTACAATCATATTAATGTAATACTGTTTCATATTAAAAACAGTTTACATGCTAAATTCAGAAACTGAGTGAGGACAGTACTTTGACCGTGGGCAGATTTACTAGACTAAGAATATACTCTGTAAAGATTTGTTTGTGTTTCCTATTTTGTTATTAAATCCTTTGATTTCTCCAACTATAAGCATCTTTTAAGCATCTTTGAACACTTAAATCCTGACATAATTTGTATTCATTTTTGTATAATACTGGCTTAGGTTAAATAAATGATCCAAGCATCTGCTACAAAATGCAATGTTGTGCAATCAAGTCTAATTGATTCGAGATCTTAATAAAGCAATTTCATATTTAATAATACAAATATATTTATTATTTTCTTTTTTTTTAATCTATGAAAGGAAATGTGTTCACAGTATGATATGGAATATATATTGGATTTTTGTCATTATATTTCTTCTCATGAATACTGTATCACACATCCAGAAGGGGAGCAAGGACCAGTGTCCACTTCACTGAAGGCAAATTTTGCCTTTTGCAGTAATCTGAAGGACTGTGGTGGGTTACTGGATGAGAGTATCCCACTGAATGAGAGCCCTTGACTTCAAAGTTCCACACTGCCTCACAGTGCTTCAAATGATCAGGTCTTGTATTAGTATCAGTCTGGGTTTATTTTCAGTAAAAGAGAAAGATATCTTCAGTGCTGGTACAATATTACAAACGGATCAGACAAAGAGAATGATCCCACATTCTGAATCCAACAAACATGTAGCTCCTGAAGTGTCTATGAAGTTTTTTTTGAATCCCTCCTTACCCTGTGTGCAGGTTTGCTTATTAGTTTTAAATAGGGCACTTGGTTTTCTTACGCAGACTGTTAATTGGAGATTAGACCATTTAGCCTTTCAGGCTGCTAGTTTAATTATGGTAATGTGTAAAATGTATCAGCAAAGCCTGATTGTCTATGCCAGCTAAATATGTTATCTTCAGTCCAGTTCCCAGTAGGCTGGTGTGTGTCTAAGTCAAATTCCAACAGCAATGGCATTAGCTGCCTCAGCCCACACCCCATAAAGTGAATGAAAAATGGAAACCAGACTGGCTTTTATGTTCCTGAGAGCTAACTGACCTCTACCATTAAGACTGGGAGACATGAATGAAGAACCATTCATTTGGGCAGTATTCTTGTGCACGAACAACATGCTACAGTCTCCAAGGCTGGCAACATGTCACCCTTTGTTACGTTAAACTAACACGAAACTGAAAAGCCTGAAGTAAATACTGAATCCACAGAGAAGGCTTTCCTATGCATGATAGAAAGATGTGGGCTCATCTACTAGGCTGTGTTGCAGAAATAGGGGAGGTCAAGAACTGCTTTAAGTTTTGGTGAAGAAAGTCAGAGTACAGAGGAAGGTGATGCTGAAAGCAAGCAGGAAAAAAAAGGTGGATTTTTGAGCCAGCTCAGGAAAGCAGGTGTGTAGAACATCATTCTTATTAAGTTTTTTAAGTCTGTGTTTCTAATGATTTTTCTGTGTATTTGTTTCTAATTTCAGATTGCCTGTTTGGTGCCTGTTGACCAGTTTCAGTTGTACAAGAGGTTGAAGTTTGAACGAGGTGTGAATATTTTTGTTTCTATTACCTTCCTTTTTACAGTGTCAGTGGAGGTACCACTGTTACATACTGCAAAGACAAAGCCTGTTGAGTGAGTTGAGGAACAGACAGAGAAGATGTCTTTGTTTTGAAATATTTTCACTAGATCTCACCGTGCTCCAAGACAAATTTGAAATTCTTTCAGTTTTCCAGAATCAACAAAGTGGCATCTTACTGAATTATCAGACCTTTACTCAAGCTTGTGGGCAACACTCTCACATTGTGAGCCTGAGGCTCCATCGTTCTTCCTATAGCATGCTCATCCTGAGTCCTCGAGGTGGTGGTTGTACTGTTAGAACTAGACAAGCTGCTAGAGGCTGGTGCAGGGCAGGGCACAGTCCTCTTATACATCCATAGGGATCTTCAGAACTTCTGGGGGAGACATACCCTGAAGTGCAATGTGGATTTTTGCAAACATCACTGAAAAATAGATTTTATTCTGTAGAAGCCTCATGTGTGTTCATCAAGTATAGTTGTTCTTTTTTTTCCAGAGGAATAATAGGTCCCCTCATTACTGAGTAAAGCCTATTAGTAAAGAAATTTGAAACTGATGGTCTCACTGGGGCCAAGCTTTCCTATTCCCAGAGGTAAGCCTTCTGCATCTGGAGATGGTTCCTTGCCAAGGCTGAAGAAGAAGCTTGGTAGTTAGAAAGATGAGATCCCCTTCCTGCTTTTAAAGACCGATACCAACTTGAAAGTCTCATTTGGAAGCTGAAGTGTTTTTCAAAGGACTCACTTCATGGTAGTTTGCCGAGTGGTGTGTCTGGGACTGATTTGCCCTAACTCTGCCTGTTTTCAAACTTTCCTTGAAAGACTGTGCTTATATTCTTGCTTTGCATGCATGCTTAGGTGCAGGTGGACTAGGAATATGTAAGACAGTGCAGGGGTTTATAAAAATTAGGCAAAGTAATGCACTTGAAAAGATGGTCATATAGAAGAACATATAGGTTTTTATAGGATCTAATCTGACATGAGTCAGATGACTTCATGAGCACGAAGTACAAAAACTTCAAAATGGGGCATGCTCAAATATGCCCCAGAATTCATAGGAGAGTGCAGATTGTAGCTATGATTTGCAGGCACTCAGGCCAAAAAAAAAAAAAAAAGAAAAAAATCCCAGTCTTTGCTATCATTTTTTATTCCTCTCTCTTATTATACCACCTTCTCATTTATCTTTAATTCCTTAGCAAGTCCCTCTGGTCCCTAAGCCCATTGGTGGCTTATCTACAGTCCTAGACAATGGAAATCAGAGCTTGTTAAATTACCATATTAAAGAGTTAAGGAAGAGAGACATTCTTGCAGTACACTAATCTGTTTTATGTAAAACCTTTTTTAACTGAAGACTCTGAAATGAATGTTTTCTGGTATCTCCTCCTCTATAACTAGCCAAAGCTGAACTCATGATCTTCTGTCCAACTCACTGTTACATCTCTTTTTTTTACTGTCTCCCACACACAGAAGCTTGAAACTTGTCTATTTTTAAAATCCTCCTTCCCTTTTCTTTCTTGCTTAAGTCTGACAAATTCTCCTCTACCTCTGCTACCTCTCTTCATGATGATTCTAAGATCTGTCCTTGCTCCTTTATAGTGAGTAGAACTCGTATCTAAGCAGCAGATTTGGACATAGCTTTTTGCCTTGCTTATTGGCCCCAACAATAAATCCAGCTTACTGATGTCTGGGACCAACGATTCCTGCTAGCTAAAGCTCTGACCTGGGCACCCAGCACTAATACCAGCCCTGGCCAAGACCTTTTGCCTATCCTGGATTTAGCTTTGTCCCCAAGGCTGACCCCATTTTTGGACTCATCAATTGGACTTGGCTTATTAGCTTCCGCTGGCCTGAAGCTCTGTTCTCAGACCTGAACCTCACCTGCCAAAGCCTGCTTACCCTGACCAATGAGAACACTTGTCTACCAGTCTTCTTCTGAAGCCAGCAATAAACCTTGATGATGGCTCCTGCTGGGGAGAAATTCTGACCTGGAATCTGCCCAGGGACTCTCGGCAGCCTTGAGATCTGTTTTGTGTCTTACGTCTGTGTCAGCCTTAGCACAACCTAGCCTTTTTCAAACCTAACCCTCTTCTCCCTTAAAATAGGGAGGTGCTAGGGTGTCCTTCATGACTTTTGTTCTGATCAACATAGCCCTTTAACTTCCTCTATTTAGACCCTTCTTCTCTCAGCTTTATTCAGTTGAGATATGGACTCTTTGCAGAGTGCACTGACAATATGATGTTCTCTTGTGGGTTTTGTGTTCTTAGAATGCAAATATTCTCAGGCTTTAAAACAAGCTTTCTCACATATCTGTATCTTCTCTGCATCCGGCTAGGGCCAAGCCACAGAGCTTATGCACAGAATATTTTGGTAGAAGAAATAGGAATTGCTCTATGTCTATTAAGGATAGGGCTGATGTCAGCCCCTATCAGAAGTAAAGAAATAGAGGAATAGCATGTGGTTAGGACACATGCATTATGTTTTTGTTTCTGTGACAATTGTCCAATAGGCTGAGTGGTGGATGATGAGAATCTCCATCTTATGCCTGATGGAAATGTAGTCCATTTTAAAAGGAGGTGTTCCTAATATTCTGTGAAATAGAATCATAGACTCATCCTTTTAATGAGTACCTCTCTTGAGACAGAAATTCTTTTCTTCAGGGTGCTGCATTTCCTTTGTCTGCCTCCCACATCTGACCTGCCTGCTCACATGTTTTATGAAAACTGGCCATATCCCTGCCCAGTGCTGGCATTGTTTGGGAAGACTTTCCTCCTGAGAGTGGAGTGCATTGTGGCTGAACTGGCTGTGGGGAAGCAGGGGAAAGTCTTGGAAGAGAAATGACCCTAACCAAAAGATGGAGCAACTTGTCAGAGCAGGATGATAGCCTCTTCCATTTTTTTTGACTGAGTCTTTTTAGATTTTTCTGGTTTCATTTGTACTCTGTGATAAACCAAACTGTATGAGACAGCATGGATTGGAAAACACTATCTGTAAGTTCTTTTAAAATGGAGAAAGTGGGAGAGGAGGGAGTTTCACCTCATGAATTACATCTTACTGCAACAAATTGCTAAAAACCAGTGAGATGCAAAACCCAACTCCCTTTCTCAAAGAGATGTCAAAACCAGACATCCTGTCTTTTACCCCAAAAAAAGATAGGAGAATTTAGGTTTCCAAAGTTAAGTATGTCAAACAACTAACTGCTGGACCTACAATTTATCTCATTTTAACTGCTCAATGTCAATAGAAAACATACGGAACCTACTGTGTTCAAGATTAAATTCAATAGTGAGCACTAGGCCATGGCCTTACCCAGTTCAGAACTTCTTTTAAGACACACCGAAGAAACCAACAGAAATAATGGTTTCTCAGTTAGGACAGTACTTTTAAAAGGTATGTAAAAAGGACAAATTACTTGTTTGGTCATGCCTCTCTTCTCTCCACAAATGAAGCTGCAAACTAATTTGTTCTTGCTTTCATTCAGTGGAAGGCAAAATCTTTGTTTGTTTTTGGAGGCAAAGGGAGCATGGGCAAAAGAATAAGAGGAAATAATGGAACTAGATTCATGAAATGGTTGAAGGGAGGTGGTACAGCTGTTTTGCTGGCACTGCCTAAATTATAGGTAACAATTTTTGACATGGATATAGAAATTGTCCTCATCTGTTGGAGCACTCTGGCACAGACTCAGAAATGACCTGAAGTCAGAGCACTGAGTACCTGTGTGCTGCAGCCAGCAGAGAAGATGATCATCCTTCTGTGGTTCCAGCCACATTTTCCAGAGAACATGTATGTGAGGCTCTTGTGCAGCCTTTTATTTCAGGAGGGACAACATTTTGTCTGCTGGAGGTACATTGTAATGGCTTTTGCCATCTCACAGTCACGGTTTCCTCCTGCTTCTGAGACATGCCCTCCACCTAATTATTCGCAGTGGCGGTACCAGAGAACTCCCAGGGAAGGATGAGAGATGGGCAGCTCCTGCAGGCGCAACAGGTCTTTTCTAGGGAGGCTCTGCAGGGTGTGAGTGTTCAGCTGCATCTCACGGACTTGAGCAGCAAGTGAACAACAGTGAATGTATTTCTGCTGGGTCTTTTGTTGCAAGTCCAAATTCCTTGAATAAAGCTGAGGAAGGGAGAGAGAGACTCAACAATTATCATTTGCTGCCATGTGGTGATGACTGTAACTCAGTGCCTCCACCCCAAATCTTGACTGTTGTTCTAAGCTCACTACCAGACAAAGAGTGATGACATGATACATTGAATATTAATTGGAGTTTGCAGATAGAGGGGAGTAAATAGGGCATGGAAAGTGACTGGAAATTAATTGAATGACAGTCCTTCTGCTGTTTACACAGAAGTTACTGCATGGCTTGTACGTACGAAAGACTCGGAACACCCTAGTGTTACAAAAGGCACGTGCTTGTCAGCAAGCAGCACTTAGATTCGTATTTTGGACCTCCCTCTAAAAAGGCAAAGATATGCTCTGTGTAGTGTATTTCTATTCTTGTGATGCTTTTAGTGCAGCTGCCTTAGCAGAGTGCAACTGCAGACCTGCCTAAGGAAGAGTAGGCTCAAATCCCCGTGGGCGTGGGTGTGGAGTGCTTTGGCTTCCACACCCCCTTGTAGAATTGGGTCTCCTATGCCTAGGCACATGTCACTGGAATGAAAAGGAGGCTGTATAAAGAGTTTTGTTTCTCTCTGTGTTGCCTTTCAGAAGTGCACTTGGACCCCCAGAGAACATGGTGCCCCACGGCCGACTGCCAAACGGTGTGCCACATTGCAGCAAGCGAGCCTAGAGCGCCGGTGCCGGTGGAGTGCCCGGCTTGCCACCTGCGGTTCTGCTCCTCTTGCAAGGAGGCCTGGCACCTGCAGCACCTGTGCCAGGAAAACCAACCTACTCCAGTCCCAACCGAGCAGGGGTAAGAGGGGAGTCCGTGGAGGCCATACATTCTTTTGGTTCTTTCTGTCCCAGTGCCCCTGCTTAATATTTCTAAAATCCCTCCGTAGACAAACCCTAACTCTTACACAGAGTGTAAATTTCATGCGCTGTGAAAAACCTGATTTTAGCTCATTTTGCTTAGGTGCAAATAACCTATTGACAAGCTTGCATAACTCATTAATCTACAGAAAGAAAGCACTTTTGTGCTTAGATTATGTCATGTCTCTGGCCCTCCATCTTTATTTTCAGAATCAGATTTTGTTTAGTTGTGTGTTCAAAGTTTTTGATCATTTTTTGCAAGAACTGAGAGACTTAAAATCTAAGCATTCTGCTTGCTGGAGACTTCATTGGGAGTTGCCAGAAAGCTCTTGCTATGATTTTTCTTCTCCAGGTTTGATTGATGGCTTTGGTGGAGTTTAAGCTGATTTTGTTCAGACAGGGACAGTGCTTTGAGTTGCATAATCCAGTCCTGTAAACTGAATTGTGCAAGCTGTCTGTAACAAAGTCCTAAGTTGTAATGCTATAGGTGGTTAATTTGTGGATGTAGCGAGGGTTGGTTTTCTGTAGCATAAAAGAAGAAGGCAGTGGAGTTTCACTTTTATGTGATATTAATATCTTACACCTAGCAGTGAGTATATGTCAGTGTATGGTACTGAACATAAGAAGCTTCACACCTTTGAGTGCACTAAGACAACAGCACTAGATGCTCTGGAAAATAAGCCCAGTATACTTTAGGCAGTGGAATATCAACAGTAGTTGCATTTAGATTTCACTGTGATGTTTCCTTGCTCTTCTAGATCCCTTATTGGAACAGAGACAGAGGCACCAATTAAGCAGTGCCCAGTTTGTCGGATCTATATTGAGCGAAACGAGGGCTGTGCTCAGATGATGTGCAAGAACTGCAAGCACACGTTTTGCTGGTACTGTCTGCAGAATTTGGATGTAAGTGCTGCAGGAAAAATGCCTAGATAAAGAGTAACGGGATTGGGCTTAGTGTGAGGCCCTGTCCAAGCTCTTCATTAATTCCTTGCTGTCCTAGCCAATATCTTGTCTTCCTTCAGCTTCTGACTCAATTTCTTTCTCATCTTTCACCCAGTGCTTTTATTTGTATCAGTATCCTTTTTTTCCCCATGAAGTGTTATAGCCACATCTGTGGGTCCCATGGTAGTTCTTTGAGGGAAATGAGATGGACTGGTTGCTTTCTGGAGGTTCTTTCCAGCAACACCTTGCTCTTGTTCCCTCTTCCAGTAGTTAAAACCCATTTGCTTGAGAGTGAGGGAAATAAGTGTCTTCCACCTGCTTCAACAACAAAGGACACAGCCCGTCCAAAAACTGGTATGATACTGGGTGAAGTGGGTTGTTCCTTGGTAGAGTGCTTAAGAGGTCATGGACTGTGTTTGCTGAAGAGACTGGTTGGTTGGGAAGCTTGAGGATAAAAATGTTGGATTATGAGCCTGAATTGTGAAATGCCTGTTGGTTTCTCAAGGGTTGCAAACTAGTCTCAACTCGTGTGGACTTCAAGTTTCCTAGCAGGATTAAGAGTCTCGGAAATAATGTGCTCTTGTATATGGCAGTTTGCCTTTTTGGCACAGACATCACTAATAACTGTGGGAGTGTGAAAGGGACTTTACCAAGCACTTGAAACAAAATGTTATGTGCTGCATGGCTTTTCTTGTCCTCTTTTTTGTCGTGCAACTCCTGTTGCAGCCAGCAAACAAGGAGACTTCCTCATTCTTCATCCTTCCTTTAGTCGTCATGCTAAACAGGTTTCACTAAGTCTTGTGTCCCATTTCCGTGTGGGTGAGCATGCTTTTTCAATGTGAGTCTTCCAGCTTGCTTCAGAGTACATACAGTACAGGGTGATTGCTTAACGCTGTGCTGAAGTGGAAGACTGTCAGATTGTCACAGCTCTGCAGCTACGCCCTTTTTGAGTTTTTGTCAGTTCAAAGAGAGAAAGAGGAAAAGCAACTGTAGTTGTGGGATTCAAATGTGGTTTTTCTAAATGTGCAGGGTTACAGGAACTCGGGGCATAGATGAAGGCAATAGGTGTAAAGGCCGAGAGTAGGGCTGAAAACTGAAAGGGGAAGCAGCATCACCTTACAGCACAGCTGGCTAAGGGAGGGTAGTGGAGGGTGTGAGTCACCTTCTGAAAATTTGGTAATTTAGTAAGTCTTAATGAGAAAAGAGAAGGGAAACAGGATTTTTCTACTTTTTAAATTTTCCAGTTAAGTCTAGGAAGAAAATGGCTATGAAGCATAAGTACAGCAGGAGAACAGCAAGCAGAAGCACCTCAGGGAGATGACCCCTCCCTCACCTTGCCAGTTTTCAGAGATATTTGATGTTTTCAGGCCCCTTTATTATCATTAAATTACAGACCAGGTTCTTGTGCAATAGGTGCAACTCAGAGACATATGCTTCTTAAATGTCGGGGAGGAAAGATGCTGGCTGACAGCTGAGGTGCCAAACATACACCAATTTTTGAAACTACGAGAAGTTTGTCTAGGTAATTATTTAGAAGACAGGTGAACTTGTCTGCTGGCAGCTGGCAATTTTAAAGCAGTGTCAGGAAGGTTGTGTTTCCAGTCTGGTCTTGAACCACTCCCTGCAGTACCATAACCTGCTCTTAGAGCTTCTCCTTCTGTTTTTCAGAACGATATCTTCTTACGCCATTACGACAGAGGCCCTTGCAGAAACAAGCTCGGCCACTCACGGGCTTCAGTGATGTGGAACAGAACTCAGGTGTGTTCCTAGCCAGCTGGGCAGAGCTCTCATGCACACATGAAGCAAAGAGATTTTACCCTTCAGGGAAGGACCAAGAGGATTATTTTTGTTTTTTTCATCTATATTTTTTGTGACCTATGCTATGCTTATGCATGCACATGTGTCCTTTATTTTCCACATTAGCTCAATACCTGTTTTTCACCCTCCTGTCTTTCAGGTTGTGGGGATCCTCGTTGGACTCGGTATCATAGCACTGGTGACCTCTCCCTTGCTGCTCGTGGCATCTCCATGCATCATCTGCTGCATTTGCAAATCTTGCCGGAGCAAAAAGAAAAACCACAGTCCTCCAACAACCTAAAACTCTGTGTCTGTTTGAGTCTGCACCCGTACAGCATATGTATGTGAGAAAGCACATTGGTTGTATTTTGGTGCCACACCTCCCAAATAATGCTCCTTTTTGTCTGCCAATTCTTGGGATAAGTGCCTATTCTTTACAGGCTATTCTATCACTAACAAATCCGAGTGTGGGAAAGATCTAGATTATTGTGCAGTACGTATGGTGTGGGCTTTTGCTTCCCGAAAAGGAAACCAGGACACCATTCACTAGTTCATACCATAAATATGAGACACCTTCCAAGACTGCTGGAACTTTCCCATTTTCCATCAGCTGCACATGACTTGATCCTGCAGTGTTACACTGCCTTTGCAGACCCAGTCATTACTGTTGTGCTTTCTGTTGGTTCTTGGTGACACTCAGATTTCTCAGAAAGTTCTGGGTATTTTGCGAAAGAGGGAGAGGGAAAAGCCTGATTAGATTCTTCTGCCTGGTAGCTTGTGTCCTGTTAAAGGTAACAAACCATTAAGAAAAGGGGTTTGGTAGTTCCCTGTCAATTGGCTGCCATGGCATTTCTTTCAGGATTGAAATCAATTTGATTTTTTCTATTGATCTCATTTACAGAAGCATAAAACCAACAGAACACTTTCCAGCTAAGACAGGGTTCTCTTCTGAGAGCCCAGACTACCTTGAGAAAGCTGCTGTTTCTTCTGGTTCCAACACAACATATCTACCATGAAATATGAGGAGTATGCATATTTCCCTGTCATTGGGCATGCCTTTTGTCAGTAACATGGATGTAGCAAACTCAGCAAGAAGCTAATATTTTAAGAGGGGTCATGATACAGTTCCCCTTCAGTGCACAGTGTTGGGATCTTGGTTGTGTGAGCATAGAGTGGCCTCATGGGCATGGATATATGGGGTACATATGTACAATGTATTTTCTGGGCAGTCAGTGTATTTTTTTCCATAGTTTACATGCGGGGTCAGCAAGAACCCTGTTAAAAGTTACTCAGACCAGGCTAAGCCAAGCCCTCCTTTAAGATCTTATGGACCTACTGAAGTGAATACTTGGGAAATGCTGTGTAAATGTGAGTTCCATCCATTGGTGGGTATTTGTTTTGTCCTGCTCAAGGTTAACAATCGTTGTTACCAATATTTTTCAGTGACACTAAATCTGGAAGGCTGTCATTTAACAAACCCTTCATTTTAATTTTGCGCCTCATCACCAAACTGATTCAGACCCTGGTATCAGTTACACTTGTATAAGTTCACTGAAAGAGCTGGAGTTACTCCAGGCTTGCTCAGGAGTAGCTGAGATCAGGCTCTGCTCCCTGGAGTTTATTTCCTTATTGGCTGCTGCTCCTCACAACTGGGGCTGGTGGTGCTTTTGTTCTGCCCTCCTGCCTGTGCATTTTATATCTGTGGGAACAGATGCGAGTTTGCACTGTGTAATTGGTTGTAACTCCAAACCCCTTTCCTTAAGGGCTGCAAGGTTTAAATGAGATGCTCAGCCTGAGTGTTGTGTTGGGCTCCCACTCTGCCAGGCTGCCCTTCTCCAGGCACACAGTGCAGGTCACCTGAAGAGTGCTGCGAAGAGTGTCTGAGCTGTTGTGCTTGGCTGAGCCCCAGGAACTTTGCCTTCTTGGCAGCTGGAAATGTGACCTTTTTTTTGTTTCACTCTGCTCTCTGGTTACTGTCACAAAAGTGGTAGGTGTTCTTGTTTTAAGAAGAAAGTGTGGTCTGCTGAGCAGACTAGCAAGGACAAAGGCCTTAAATGATGCTGTCTGTTTTCCTTTTTAATTGATTTCTTTTATAAATGCTGTCTGACTTTGCTACCAGTCCTGACTGGAGGGCAGGCAGTGCTCACCAGTGTGAAAGGCTCTATTTATTCTTCCTCCACGGCTTTGAAGGGAAGCACAAAGGTAATCAGTACATTCTAAATAGAGAGTGCAATGCAGAAAACTGCCATTTATAATAAATAAAGAATGTTTTCTCTGTGTGTGTTTTCTTTAAGAGCACTACTGTGACAGATTATAGAGTGTCCAACCCTTGGCTTTGCACTATTTTTCTACCTATGTTTTTACAGCACTACTGTCATTTCCATTTGATTGATGGACTTGAAGTTGTGAGTCTTACTTTAATGAAGCCTCAAGGACAAAGATGTAGGAGCTGTATGGTCTCTTTAACCATAACCAGCCTTGCAATGCCCCAATGTCCTCTGCATGTTAAAATCTGTGGGTTTTTCATGTTTTGTGACCTTACCCATGACCAACACACCCTCTGCTAGTCCACTTTCTTTCCTTGTCCTCTCCCTCTTTCCTTTGGCCTGTTTTTGCTGAAATGCCTAATGGGACAAAGGTGTCTGGTATTTTTTTCATTACTGCTGTTGTGTTAATGAACCAGTCAAGTTCTTCCCTCTGTTAAAGAAATGCAACTGAAGGCAGCTGTCTTGCCCAGAATCCAGTAATGGACATGTTTGACCTTTTTTGATTCTTTCTGTGTTTTCTAAAGCTAATGCAGATCTCTCCATAGAGTGGGAATTTGTTTAAACGGTTTGAAGAACAGTATTTCCTAAAAGCATGGCACACATGCCTAGCTGTAAAGCCTGGGAAAACAACACCATTCAGTTTATTTTTAAGTGCTCGATTTAAGTGCAGTTAGTTCCCCATCAGGGGCTAATTCCTATGGAGCAGGAGGAAGGTATTCCTTTTCGCTGTGAATGTCTGGTTGCCAGTGCCAGGTCAGGTGCCTGGTGAGGGTACAAAAAGTAGTCGAAATTCAGTATGCAGGAGTTTACACAACCTGGCAACACAAGCGCCAGTCCAGGCATCTAAGAAATCTGTATGACTGGTAGAAGTGGCACAGACTGTAAATGGAAGTCTTTACACCAAAGCTGGATAAGGAGAGCGTGTACTGCAGGCACACCTTCCTTTGGCTGCGTAAGTGCCGCAAATTGACCTAGAAATAAATTCTGGAAATACTTTAGAGGTTAAAAATTGAAGTTTTACAACCATTATTTTCTTTAAAAGGCCATGTCCAGTGCCCTGTATATCCTAGCTTTTTCACTGAGCATGTGCATTAAGTAGACCCTGACCTGGCCAGCACATGAGGACATCCTAACTCTGCCGAGTGGAGCAGTACCTGTGCTGAAGCGCTGGGAACAGTAGAGACTTCTTGCCTTCTTTTCCAGAAGGCAGCTATTTTACACCAGCTGGTCATGCTCACAGATTTTCCTGAGAATCATTTTAGCAAGAATCTTTGTACAGAGTTGGGTTTTGATTTGTGTCATTTGGGATTTTTAATTTTAAAAGAAACATTAAAGTCACTTTGTAGAAGATTTATTGCAAGCGTGACAAATAATACTAATAGAAGTTAGGGAGAAAGAAACAAAAACAGGACTCCAACTACTTGTGACTCTTCTAAATCAATGTCTCTGTAAATCCACCCTGCTGAACTCCATTTTAGTGATGTGGTTGGTGCCTGTCAGTGCCAGGCTTCACTCCCCTTCCCATCTCTCTTCTTCCCCCCATGGCAGGTGGCTGACATGAGGGTAGCAGCCAGAGGAGAGCTCAGGGCTGTGGCAGTGCAGGGTACCACACAGGAGCACATCGCCCACCCTGCAATCATCACCAGTTTATCCTGGCACCTTTAACCACTGAGAGAGAACTTGAGGGGGTTTAGGCCATTAATGTGACATTGAGAGCATTCACAGATGTCTCTCTTGGAGAACAGAAGTGGCAAGTACTCCATTCCCTCTGAACTAGGAGCATTCACCCCTTATGAAAATTGGACTTTAGATGCCTAAAGGTCAGTTCCTAAAATTAGAGACCAGTGCTAGAAATCTGGATTTTTACTTCACCTGGCCCCAGATCTCCATGGCCACATATTGCACAGTATTTCTCATCAGTAACAGGGTCTGTGTCAAATACATCTGAGGATCCCACTCAGCATCCCAAGTCCTTGTGTTAAAATGAGGATGATGATACCTGTTCCCAAACCCATCTATTCCTAAAAATATTTGTCATGCTATAGCATAAGCACTTCCCTGTAGTATTTATTCTGGAACTATGGGAGGTGGTCAGTTCAGTAAGTGAGGATTTATTATTGCCACATGGGGTTGCCTACCCTAAAGAAGGGCATGAGGGGTAACAGTAATGAATGTTTCTCTTTGCCTAATGGGCATCTTAATGATGCTGAATGCTATGTACTGTTGTCTGTCCAGTAGCATGACATAAAGTCCAAAGATAAGTTTAAAATGTACATACATTTTACTTGAACGAACTAAGAGAAACTGGATATTAGTTCCATATTTGCTTGGAAATATACAAGTGGACAGAAATCAACTGCATTTCCACAATGGGACAGTGAAATCAAGTTTTGGCTGTTCTGTTCTCTGGTATCACAGTGGGTGGTTGTGCTGTAGTGCTCGCTGCTTTAAAAATTTGAAATCTGTTTTGCACTGTAATCTCCTTCTCCCAGTCACTCTTTCTCAAACTAATTCCTTTTATGATCATATTTTTCATCCTCTATCTCAGGCCAAAGATTCTTAGAGTGAAGTTAGTAGATTTCTTTGTATGAGGATAAAAATCTTCCAACAATTTTCTCACAAGTTTTAATAAGAACTTTGATGCTGAGATAACTGAGCAAAGGTAGAAATTTCAGACTTGTCTTGTTTAGAAAAACTCATTCAGGCTTAAAAGTTGTCTTGTAAGACCTAGATAAGAACTGCTTTGTTAGAGCTCATAGGTGAAGGAGCCCTACAGCTTTTGAGCTTCACAGGAGAGATGCTTCTATTGTCAGGTAGATTTCTTTGGAAATGTGATGGGAAAAAATTTAAAAATCTACATCCTATATACATATTTTTATTATATAAATCAAAAGAGCTTCTCTTGTATAGATCCACAGCTTGGGGTTTCAAACTCTCTGGGGCTTTCTAGGATATACTTGTACAGGAAGATAATTTTAAAAATACACTGAAAGAGTCGAACAGAGTGTTCTAGTTATAAACTAACTCTGGTTATAAACTTTCACATATGAGTGTGTGGGATCAGACCCTAACTCATGTGGCTGGCAATAAAGATGTGAAAATTTACCTTTCCTGGAACAGTAAGAGTTTGTTCTTCTGTGGTCTGCTGGAAGATGAACTTACTGCTAAGATTCTGGAAAACTTCAGTCTAATTTTTATTTGTCCTTTAGTTAGTAAAGTAATGAAGTGAGAGCTGAATGGTGTTGCTGAACAGGAAGCCCAAAGGCCTGTTTTGTGTCACTATTCTCAAATTTCTCAGAACCAATGTGTTTTTTTAATTTATTATTATAATTTATGCAATGCATATATAATTTATAATTAGTAATTACAAAATATTGAGGTTGAAATATCATTGCTTTTATCATATGACAGATTTATTTTAGTTGCATTCATACTGGAAGCCTTCCCTGTTCTGATTTCTGTGGAGAAGGTCACGGTGCTCCTGGCAAGGTAAATTCCTATGATTTGGTGCAGTCCACAGTAAATGTTTCCTGCTATTTTGTAGTTATATCAGAGGGATTTTTGTGATCCCTTAATTAATTCTTTGAATTGAGCAAATGCCTATTGTTAGGAAAGGTAGTTTCCTGGCAATGAATTTTATTGACCATCTTGATCTGAGCTATGCAAGATGATACTGGTTGACAAAGTCCAGCATCTTTTTAGAGGACATGACCTCATTTGTCTTCATTTTTCCCAAGAGGGTTTCTTTTTTCTTGGATTAAAATTAAGGACTTCAGTCATTTGCTTGTGCCTTCTGGATGTCCAAACAGAAGCTGCAGCTTCTGTTGGCCAAGTGCCAGGAGATCCCAGACAGGTTGGACGTGCAGTAAGTTGCTCAAATTTCAGGAAGGTGCCTGAGCTGCCTTTATGGCTTTCTGGGGCCCATGTGGTAGATGTGGTGCACAGGGGGCTCATCCGGGTGAGGCTTTGAGAGCCACCAGTTCTGTAACACGTGTAGTGCTGGGCTGGTGCTGCACCACAACCTTGATGCTGGGCCATCTTCTCATGAGTAAGCGTATCCTGGAGTTTAACCAGGGGCCATATCTCAAGCTGGCCCTTTCCATAGCTACCCACCCACCCCTAAAAGTCCCCAGATTCCACAGCAAATCTCTGTTCCTTTTGTTTTCCAGTCTCTGGTACTGGCTGGTTCAGTTTCACAGAAACTTCAATTCAGATGGGCTATTTGGAGCTCAGCTGGTCTAAGCATTTGCTTTGCCTAATGGGCAAGGCTTGGGAATGAAAAGAAGCAGAACTGTTATTTATGGCGCTGGCATTAGCATCGCAGGTACCAAGGGCCACCTCGTGAGAGCTCTTGAGTGCTCCAGCATTGC